GTGGTTTTTCGAGACAGGGTTTCTCTGCGTAGCTTTGCGCCTTTCCTGGGACTCACTTGGTAGCCCAGGCTGGCCTCGAACTCACAGAGATCCTCCTGGCTCTGCCTCCCGAGTGCTGGGATTAAAGGCGTGCGCCACCACCGCCCGGCTAGCATATTCTTATATGTATTTACCATTAAACTTAATGATGCCTTAAAATTAGCAAAAAAACAAGTACTATAATTGTGTACCTCTGATGAAAATTCTTTATATGCAGTTTTAAAACAAATAAACTTAGCATGTAATGGTCTTTCTCCTCGAGTTATAACAATGCAGTGTTGCTCAAACTGCATTACATTTGCGAGTGAGCAGTCATCTCAAACAAGCACTGGACTATGTCTACTGAGCTGAGCCCATCTAATCAAAATTACTATCCAAGAAAAACCTTACCTACCTACAGGAAACGACCCTCCCTTCTCCTTTCCAAGTCCAAATGATGTTTCTTGGTGGAGTTATTACGGTGTCCTTCCAGATCCCTCCACTGCCTTGTCTATCACTTCCTCTCTGAAGAAGCCTGCCCCGACACAATACCCACTCCTGTCTCTCCCTATGTGAAATCTAAGCAGCCTTTCCTCTCAATCTGCTGCCCTCCTCGGAAAGAGCCCTTGCTGCCTGCTTTAACAAATCCCCTTCAACAAACATCCCCAAAGGGAGCAAAGAACAGTGCAGGTATTTTATCCTGTAATCTAGTCTGTTCTGAAGGAATATTTGATGCACACACAGTTTGTATAGGTCAGGAAAAATTCTGGTAGACTTCGAATGAGGGGAAGAAACACTCCTAGGTACCTATCTCCAGAGCATACTTTTAGAGACTAAGCTGTTTTATATACTCTTAAGTTGCTGACATTCTTGGCCACAACAATGCAGATGAATTATATGTAAATGATTAATGCCCTGTGACTGTTGACTAATTTTGCAATTATTTGTACACTCATTTCAGTATTCTTTACCTATATGTGTATTTCTTTGAATTACCTACTGAAATGGTTATCTTCCTGATTCTTTTATATATTTGAAGATTTAAATAAACATTTATTTTCATGTATGTATGCATGCATGCATGTGTGTATGTACGTATGT